TACTTTATGGAATTCTTTCTCTTAAGAGCACGGAGTTGAGTGATTATTCAGATAATGATATTTTAAGTTAATGTGTGACCTCTACTGATTGCAATATCAGCACCATTATAAGAGATGCTACTGGGCCCTATGTGCTATAATCAGTTCAGAGCCGAGCATCATTCTATTCACCCTTATAGGAAACAATATTTATTGTAATTGTTATGTATGGTTCCTCTAATTCAGGTATAAACGCATAATAAATTTCTGTAATACATCAAAAATAGTTGTTAAGTTTAGTAAACTTACTAAAATTTTAATCAAGGGCTAAAAGTTGTGGGGAGGAAGGTTGGGCAAGAGGGAGGGAGGTAGAGAGAGAGATCGAGCTGTATCTATTGTGTGCAGATCTTTGTGGGAGGGAGTGAGAGAAGATATAGAAGAGTAATTTACACCAAGGTAGAAAGGAGAAATACATGAATGTTTGATATTTAAGGTAGTATCAGGTAATTCAAGAGTATGAGTAGGGGTAAGAGGAGAAAGTATAAGCTAGAGCTAGGGAAAATAAAGGAAAACTGATTCTAATGAATGCTGTAAACCATTAGATGAAATATATTCAAATGAGTTGAAGTTTCAGTGCTGCCTATTGGGTTAGCAATTATCATTGAAGTTAGAGTTATATTTATATTATGAAACTTGATGAGTTTATTCTTTCTTGCTGCTTATATGATTTTCTCTCTAGCTTTTAATAGTTTGTTTATAATGTGTCCTGGTTTAGATATCTTTGATTTATCTTGGTTGGTATTTGTTGAGATTTTTATAGTAAACCATGTCAAGGTGAAAAAAATTCTTGTTGAATCTTGGTTTGGATTTCATTGGGCTTTGACCAATTAGCAGATGGCCATCATTCTTTCACTGTGGATCTCTCCCAAGTTGCATGGACACAGGAGTCAATTGCTTACTTGCTATGAACTATCTACCATCTCCTTTGGGTTTGTCAGCTCAGCATCCTGCAGCTGAATGCTCAGAGGGTGCAGTGTTGTGGGTTGGCTGTTTCTATTGTGTGCAATAGTTCAGGATGGAGACTCTGGAGTGTCCCTGTGATTGTTATGGGTTACTGTGTACCTGTTCCCTTCTACAGGATCTTTTTGTAGTATTGAAGATCTTTGTCTGTGAGCAGGAACTCTGGTTGTGGGTTTTCCATGGGAGTTCTGTGGTGCAGAAATATTATCCCAGGTGATGCCACTCTCTGACGTACTGTAGTGAAGGGTTTCAGATGGTTCACCTGGACTCTTGTTTCCACTGTGTTTGTGAATGGCAAGCATTGATTTCCTTTGTTTAATAAACGTGATGAAAGGTCCTCTAAGTATCCAAACAATGCTACTTGCAGTTGTGATCACGTGTCAGACTGTGATCAGACAGTTAAGGCTAGGATCAGCCCCTTTTTGTTGGGTAGACTCTGGTAATTTTCTTCTGGGTTTCTATGTCACTGGATATTCAATCAGCTTCCCTCTGGTACAGCTCTGCAACCCCACGACTGTCCCTAGGCTTCCCATAGTTCCTCCCTCCAATGTCAGTGGCTGGTGCCTGGTGAATCTGGTTTCCTGTGGGGCCAAAGTTTCATTGCCCTCTCAGCTAGTGGACATTGTGCAGTTTTCTGCCTTCGCCTGGGTTGTACAGGCTTGAGATTGAATGCTAGGCGCGCTTCTTGGCTCAGGTCCCCACGCAGTGCATTTCATTCCCTTGGTTCTAAGTAAAGGAGAGGGAAAAGGAGATTCAGCAATTTTTGGCTAGTAGTGGTTCTTCTAGAAATTCTTTCTAGCCAGATTCTTAAGAGGTCCTACTGTTGGGACTTCCCTCTAGTTTAATTTGCAGCTGTCTGGGCATTGGAGGATGCTATGTTGATTTAAGAACTGGTTAACTGAAGGCTCCACAAGATGGCTCTGGACCACCTACATCAGTTTTTCAGAATTTGGTATTAAGATATTTGTTGTTTTAATGACCCTTCTATTGCTGTTGTGCTTTAAATTTTGTCTGTCTTTCCAAATATTTTTAAGTGGGTGAGCTTAAGAGATTTTATGCCCCTCCTTCTCTCTGTGTTGTCACTCTCCTATTTTTATCCCCAGGTTCAGGCTTGGGGTTATGGGACTGTGACTTTATATTCTACTGTGGTAAACCTGTCCTCCAGTTTCTCCAGTTCTCAGAGTTTGTAATATTGAATCTTAGAGCATATATTTTACCACCCACCTCTCAATTCTGCTTTTCCTTTGCTGTCTCCTTTCTGTTTTGTGAGGAGATTAGGACTCTCTGCCTAGCTCACTTTTCCATCTTCTTCTGTCCCCCAACCTCCTGCTTTAGTATTTCTTATAGAACTTGCCAATTAATAATTCACTCCCCCACCTTTTGCTTATTTAGGAATGTCTAAATTTCTCTTTTGTTTTTGAAGAATAGTTTTGCTGAATTTAGAATTCTTGGTTAATGTTTTTTTTTTCTTTCAGCTCTTCCAAATAAGGTATTTTTCTTCCTTAAATCTTCCATGGTTTAAATCAGCTGTTGATGTTGATTCTGTGTACTTGATGTACTGTGTACTGATGAGTTTCTACTTTCTTGATGCTTATATGATTTTCTCTCTAGCTGTTAATAGTTTGTTTATAATGTGTCCTGGTTTAGATATCTTTGATTTATCTTGGTTGGTATTTGTTGAGATTTTTGGGTATATAGGTCTATATCTTTCATCAAATTTGGAAAGTCTTCAGTTATTGTTTCAAGTATTCTTTCTATACTACCTCCTCTCCTTTGGGATAGATAGAAGATAGATTGAACATACACACATCTATATTAATATCAATGTCTATATAGATCTACATAGATATGTTTGCTTGATGTTCAAAAAGTCACTGAGTCTCTGTTAATTTTCTTTCATCTTTTTTGTTTTTGATCTTTAGAATGGATCATTTAAATGGACTTATCTGTGAGTTCTTTGATTGTTTCTTCTGCCTGCTCAAATCTGTGTTTGAAACTATCTAGTAAATTTTTCATTTCAGTATTGAACATTTCAGTTCCAGAATTTTGTTTGCTTTCTTTATATTATTTTGCTTCCTTGAAGATATTCTCTACTTGGTAAGACATTATTCTCCTGGATTCTTTTAAGTTTTTTGTCTATGGTTTTATTAAGCTTTTAAGCATATTTTAGACCTTTAACTTAAACTCTTTGTCAAGTAAAACTAGTGTCTAGGATTACACATTTCTTCCCCCCCACTCTGTGAATAGGTCATGCCTTCTTGTTTATTTGAATTTCTGGAAACTTTTTGTTTAAAACTGAACATTTTTAATATGATAGTGTGGTGATATATACCAATTACATACCTGCCTTGTCAGATTTCATTGTTGATGCTTTGGAGGTTGTTGAAGTTTATTTAGTGACTTTTCAAAACTGTTCTTTTATTTTTCATGTATGACCACTCAATTATAGTGATTTGATAGGTATTTCCCTAAATACTTTGAGAAAACACTACTTCTCCCTGCATTTACAACTGTATTCTTTCTGTGTATTAGAGAAGACCCTCAACAGTATACAATTCTGTCTTCATTTTCACTTCCTGTTTGCACAGAGTCTGATCATGTACCTTGCGTAAGGGGATGGTCTTTTAGATACCTGAAAATATGTGGAAGCCCTTATTCCCAAAGCATCTCACTCCCCAGACTCTTTTCCCATGTTCTTTGGTTTGTTCCTAGTTTCCCCTAATATCCTTTGTCTCAGGTGGCAGTAGTGAGTTCATTGGCCTTTAAAAAGTGTTTTATGGTGTTGCCACTTCTGTGCCTTGAGAGATTCTAAGTTGAAATAAAGATAAGACTTTCAGAGGATGGGGATGTGGCTCAAGCGGTAGTGTGCTTACCTGGCATGCATGGGGCGCTGGGTTCGATCCTCAGCACCACATAAAAATAAAATAAAGATGTTGTGTCCACTGAAAACTAAGAAAGAAATATTTAAAAAGTTCTCTCTCTCTCTCTTTAAAAGAAAAAAAAAAGATAAGACCTTCACAAAGTCTTATGACAGGAAGTGAAAACTGGCAGACAGTTCCGTGAAAACAAGGTCTGCTCTGCTTCTCTAGCACCAGCACTCACACTAGGAGCACAGACTACTGTCTTCAGGATCATTTTTGAGCCAGGGGTGGAGAGGATGGGCAAAGGTAAATTAAAATACCACAAACATCTACTATAGATTTCATCCACTTACTATAGATTTCATCCACTTTTTCTCTTGATTAAGAGTTCTTTGATTGCTGTAAATCTTTGAATAATTTTCAAGCTCAAAGAAAGTTGATTCTGGTAGTTTTGCTGGGAGTTTCATTGTTTGTTTTTTCTTGGCTTGATTTGTTTTGGTTTTCCTATAAAAGAATAGGTCCTTGGAGTTTCCTATTTTGTCATTCTCCCTGATCTTTTGTCACATTTTAGGTTGACTTTTGCAAATATATGACTCTTGGCCTTCTTCATATTTCTCACATGCTTCATACCTTTCCTTTGGGAAAATGGTTTTATGATTGTTTTCTGTGGTGTGGGGGGGGCATGCATTCATTTAGGGAATTGACTACATTAAAAAAAGGAAGAGTTAAATTGCTCAGGCAGAAAATGACTATAAGAAAACCATATATGGAAAGTGAGTCAAAACAGAAATCTTGTGAGGTAAAAGAGGAATTCAAAGTAAGTTGATAGGACTTATGTGATACCTCAAACAGCATTGTGGGGACTGTCACTTAAAGCAAACATGTAGTAGAGAAGAGGATAATAAAATGAGTACCTTAGAAGGAAAATTAGAATTGAGTCATGTAGCATGTGGCATCCAAGAGTGATACTAAAAATAAAGTCAATAGCCCCATTTTACAAACTCTGTGTAACTCTTAGGACATTTCCACCCAGGAGCAATTAGGACAGGTGCAAAGTAATTTAAAAGCAAGCATGAACTAATTTTATGAAGGTTATCCATGCACAAAGAGAAATTTACAAAGAACATTTTTCTGGCCTACCTTGGATACGAACCACAGCATTTGCTTCAGCTCTGCAGGTGATGCCAGCTGTTTTTTAGAAAGGTCTATCTATGCTTTTAAAGGATTTGTGTTTCTGGATCAAAATGAAAGAGACCCACTTCCTTTCTTCCCTTATATTTTCTTATACATCCCCATCATAGAACCCAGAGACACTATTTTCACTAACTCTCTGTGTAACCTGGGTCAAGTGATTTAACCTTTTTAAAGGTTAGTTTCCTCCCCCTTTAAAATGAAAGGTTTGTCTAAAATGATGTATCTCTAAAGTTCTTTATACTCAAGTTCCATGATTCTTTCTGATAGTTTAGAATCTTTATATTCTTCTGTTCTCTTTAACTATATTTAGCATCTGGAACCTCTACCTCATAAACTACATGAACATCACTTTTCATTGTGCCTCTAAACTCTCTCTGGCATTATAACCTACTACTTAAACTATTTTGTCTGCCTTTCAACTAACATGACCTTGCCTGGAATAGTTATCCTGTATTTCCTTTGATTATTAAGTGTTCATCTTAGAAGACCAGAGAGACAGATGTTATTTTTCAGGGGCCTAGTTCTTGTTCATTGATTGTTGAGAATCCTCTCCTAAGAGATTGACACAATAACAATATGACTACATCCCAGCCAGTTTCACTGCCAAGCACCTATGAGAGATGATAAATTGGGCTCATCTTATCTGACACCAACAAGTGGTTCCATTTTAATCACCTCTAAAGTTGTTAAAATTATTTGTTCTAAATGCAGAAGTTTCCAGGTTTTCTTTTACAGAATTGGAAAGGACATGGTCCACAGCCACAGCCAAGAAATGTCAAAATAAATAGATTCATCTGTTCTAAGAATTAGTTTAAATGCTTTTCTTCTTTTTAAGCTATTTGAAAATAGTGATGATTACCATGAAGAAAAATTTTGCCTATTTACAAGGTAATTATAAAGATATAAAATTGACAACAAAATTACTGCTCTTAGTTGGTTTTTTAAAATCATGTTAGCACTTCCACAGTAGACTGGACAAATCACTTTTCTATTTATTATAGCCAATTAAAATATTAATACATCTGGAATACAAAAAATAGCTGATAATACGCAAATATATTTTTATTTGCAAAAGAAGAATTTATTATGCATAGAAAATCACCCTAAGAAAATTAAATCCAAAGGATGTATATGGTTCTTATAATTGTTGCCAGAAGTAATCTTTAAAACCTGAGGTGGCAAAAGTTTATTTTTAAGCAAATTATAAATCTTTTAATAGCTAGGATTTAACTAAAGGAAAACCACAACATCCAAATGCAAATGTTTTTTTCTTTGTCAGAACTTAATGTTGTTACAACATTTTTTATGAGGATCCAGTGCATGTTATTTCAAGTTCATTTTAATACAGCATACCTACAGTTATTGAAATTTACATATGCCAAAAACTTAACAATTTCTCGGCAGGTGCCAGGTATAATATAAGGCAGTAGAAACACGATTAGGAAAGATCTGGTGTCTCAGGAAATTTAATAGGGGACAGAAAGCAATCATGATTCAGTAGTATGAGTGCTTCAAGAGTGACACATGTAGGGTACAGTGGGAGATACTTGTCAGGAACAGGAAAACTTTCTCAGAGCCTGCAAGCGAGGATAAAGAACAAGTGCGTCACCAAATAATGCAAAGACATTAAAGCAGCATGAGCTATAGCACACATATGCATACATACACACACAGAGTAGTTTGTGTAGCTAAGACATACAGTTCAGAGGGGACAAATGCTGATGGCTAAGGCTGATCATGGAAGCTATTCTAATAAGAGTCATGTGTTTGTCAGTGTAAATAATGCTATGTGCTATAACAATTTATAAAACTCAGTGTCTTAATGCTGTGTAAATTTGCCTTGCACCCAACATAGTTTGAGTGTTAGGTAGGTGTCCTTCCCTGTGTTGATTCCAGAAACCTGACTTATTTCTACTTTTAGTGCCATCTGATATGAGAAGTTTCTGGCTAATAATATCAAAGACTGCTGAGAGGCCAACCCAACCTGAAAGCTGCTTACCGAATATAGTGACTAAGAGGTTACTGTTGATGTTTTCAGGAGAAGTTTCACTGGAGAATGAGGGCAGAAGCTGTATTTCAGTGGAGGAGAATGGGAGCTGAGAAATAAGGGCCCATAAATGTTAACAACTCCTTAAAAGTCTTGGATTAAAAAAAAAAAAGAGGGCAAGGATTATAGATGGGAGGAGAAACATTTTAAGGGTTGTTTTATGATTTGTCTTTATTCAACCATGAAAGAGAATGGAACCTGTTTATATGATGAGGAGAAGAATTAGTTGAGAAGTAAGGGTTTTAGATTCTGAGAAGAGAATGTAAATTAAATGAAATCCCTAAGGAAACAGGAGGCAATAAAATTTGGCAGACAGATAAAGTGATTAGCCTTACACTAGAGGTCTTATGCTTTGTCTCTTGACCTGAGAGACAAGCATATAATATAAAGAAAAGTAACTAAAGATTTTTCATGAAAAAATCAAGAACAGCGTTTGAGGTTCAAGTATATGTCTATAAAAAATGAACTTTAAATAATGGAAAAACCATCTGTTTTAAAACAATTATGAGCCATGGGAATATCAAATCTATCCACAAGTAGTCTAGAAAGGCTACTTACTATTTATCATTGGATGAGGTTTTTGCACTTTACTCAGTATGTTTGAAGAGTCAGCCATTTCATTCATAGCCTTAGAAGATACTGTGTAAATTAATTGTAACTTTAATTTTTATTACTTTGAAATATAGAATAATGCAAATCTTTGAAAGATTTGAAAAGTCAAATTAGATATTGGTTGAGGACTTTTGACTATTAGTTTTACCATAAATAGATGGAATATAATTGCATTTTTCTTTAGACAGAAATAGAATAGTTTGATTGTTGTATTTGATTAAAATATATTAATCCTCCTGCCTCAGCTTCCCAAGCCACTGGGATTATAGGTGTATGCCACTGAACCTGGCCAAATTATAGTATTCTTTTTAAAAATTAATTTATTTTAATTAGGTATATATGACAACACAATGCATTTTGATTCATTATACACAATTGCAACACAAATTTACATTTCTAAGGTTGTACACAATGTAGCGTAACACCATATGTGCAGTTATACATCTACCTAGGGTAATGCTGTCCATCTCATTCCACCATTTTCCTGCCCCCCCATACACCCATACTATAAAATTCTTAATAGAAGCATTTTGACAATATTAATTTTGAGGCTGGGAGTGGTTGTGCATGCCTGTAATCCCAGTGGCTCAGGAGGCTGAGGCAAGAAGATCATGAGTTCAAAGCCAGCCTCAGCAAAATCCAGGCACTAAGCAACTCAGTAAGTCTCTAAACAAAATACAAAATAGGGCTGGGAATGTGGCTCATTGGTCAAGTGCCCCTGAGTTCAATTCCTGGTACCAAATACACACATATATCTATATATGTATGTATGGGTGTGCGTGTTTCTGGATCAAAATGGTGTGTGTGTGTGTGTGTGTGTGTGTGTGTGTGTAAAATATATAAATTTTGCCTATCTACAAACTTGGGAGTTTTTTCCATCTTCTAAGGATTTCTTCAGTTTCTTTCTTTAGTGTTTAATACTTTTCATTGTAGAGGTCTTTCAAACCTTGGTTGCATTTATTTGCAAGTATTTTATTTTTGTATTTTTGAAGTTATTGTAATTGTGTTGTTTTTCTGATTTCTTTCTCAGTGAATTCATTATTAAAGTATAAGAAAGCTATTGATTTATGTATGTTGATCTAGTAGCTTGCTACTTTGCTGAATTTGTTTACTGCTCTAAAAGTAGTCTAGTGGAATATTTTGTCTTCTATATATAGGATCATGTCATCAGCAAACAGATAATTTGACATCTTTTCATATTTGTATCCCTTTAATTTTCTTCTCTTGCCTTTTGGCTCGGCATAGATTTTCTAGAACTATGTTTAATAGGGATGGCAAGAGTGAATATCGTGTCTTAGTTCCTAATTTGAAAGGAAATGCTTTCAGTTTTTCTCCACTCATTATAATGTTTGCTTTGGGTTTGACATAAATATCCTTTATAATATTGAGGGAAATTCCTTGTATTCCTAGATTCATCAGTGTTTTTAATATGAATGGGTGTTGAATTTTCTCAAAGGCTTTTTCTGCATCAGTTGAGAAGATAATGTGTTTTTGTCCTTAATTCATTTTATGTGGAGAAATATGTTATTGATTTGCATATGTTGAGTCATCCTTGAATAAGGGTGGTGAAACCCACCTGTTCATGGTGTACTATCTTCTTAAAGTGGATTTCTAATACCTTATTAAGGATTTTTGCATTCGTGTTCATCAGGGATATTTGTAGTTTTCTTTCTTTGTGTGTCTTTGTCTGGTTTTGACATTAGACTGATATTGGATTTATCAAATGAATTTGGGAGTGTTCCCTCCCTTTGTATTTCTTGGGGTAATTTTAGGAAGATTGGCATTATTTATTCTTTAATGATCTGGTAAAGCTCAACTTAGAATCCATCTCATCCTAGGCTTTCCTTTGTCAGATACTTTTTCATTGTTGCTTCAATCTCTTTGTTTGATTTCTTTACAATATCCTGGTTCTATTTGAGTAGATCATATGTGTTTAGAAATTTATAAATATCTTCTAGATTTTCTAGTTTATTGGAACAGAAAATTTTGGAAATAGTTCCTAATGATCCTATGGATTTTAGAAATATCTGTGATGATATCTTCTGATTTGAGTCTTCTCTCTCTTTCTTTTGGTTTATCAATCTTGTTTATCTTTTCAAAGAAACAACTCTTTGTTGCATTGATCTTTTGTATTTTTATTCTCAACTTCATTAATTTTGGCTCTGATTTTAGTTATTTCCTGTCTTCTATTATTTATGAAATTAGTTTGTTCTTTTTTTCCCTAGGGCCTTGAGGTATAGGATTCAATTATTTATTTGTGATATTTCTGGTCCCCCCTCCTTTTTTATTAAAACATAGGCACACAATGCTAAAAACTTTTCTCTTGAAACTGCCTTCATACTGTCCTAGAGATTTCTTTTTGGTGGGGGGCACTAGGGATTGAACTCAAGGCCACTGAACCACTGAGCCACAGCCACAGCCTTATTTTGTATTTTATTTAAAGAAAAAGTCTCATTGAGTTGCTTAGCACCTTGTTGTTGCTGAGGCTAGCTTTGAACTCAGAATCATCCTGCCTCAGCCTCCAAAGCTGCTGGGATTACAGGCATGTACTACCATACCTGGCTTGTCCTAGAGATTTTGATATTT